GTCTTCGGATTCTTGGATTAACATAAAATGCCTCCATATTGACATTTGAATTCAATCATTCTCACAAAAAGGGGTGATATCCAATATAAATGCATCAAACACATCATTTCTCATCTTTTTTTAGCATTGCACTAGTTGATTTCACCAACCATAACATTCACGATATATTGATCCTTTCTTAGTAGAGCGTGTGACAATATGTTTGTGATCCCCAAAATTTTCAACATCAACAGCAAATGGATCACAAAATCAAATGACCAAAGATATATTATAAGACCACTTTCTTGACATTGACTAAAACATTTAAGTCCTTTATTTTCAACATATTCAAGCACGTCAAGATCAAATGAAAACAAACCAACCAAACATGATAGAGTTTTGTAATGAGAATTCGAACGTGTATCTCTGGCTCTAGTAAGAGAAAGTTATTGGTTTAATCCACGTATGATTTCAATTTCACCATGATCGGTAGATTCTTCAAGTTTATCTTTTGACATTCGCGTATCATAATGTTCGTTTATAAGAAGCACACACAACATTCATTAGAACAACTAACATAACAAAAAAGACTCCAACATCATAATGTTTTTTTTTGCAACCGCTACAATAACAAATTGAAGTTGGTGAGCAAAGCAATGAACATAATATCCGAATGTATTTTATATCATGATTAAAGATTTTAAAACATTAAATTTACTACTCATATTACTTGCTCCATCATATCATTGACCCCTTATATTCGTTAAACTCAATCCATATTCAGAAAATAAATAGTTAATAGCAGATTTTAGAGATAGTGTAGATGTCTCCTTCACATGAACAAGACCAATAAACCTTTCGTTAACAATATTGCATGTAACGTATCATAAAACTACCGCCATTTGTTCCTTTTTGGATATATCGATGGACTCGTTAACTAAAAAAAGCAAAAACGTCATCACCAATTTCATCAAAAAATTATTTAAGTACTTCTTGTACAAAAAAATGAGCAATATCTTTTGGAATACATGGAGCCACCATTTGATTGTTTCGTGGAGCATTTCATAATGTAAATTTACATACACTCTCATTTTGTTCACGAATCAAGTTCAATGTTTCCAAGAAATTTATCTAAAAATATATATTTCAGACTCATCGTAACCATGAAAAGATAATGCACATTTTAATAAATATTTAGAAGAATCAATGGAAGCATTTAATTGGATTCGATGTTCATTCCTTTCAGCATCATTTTTCTTAGGAAGAGCAAAGAAAATAGAGCTCCTTTTACTTGATTCATCTTTAAATAAGTAACAGAACAAAGAAAAGGCCTTATTTTCCTTTTTATGACACTACAACCATTTAATGTATTGGTCAAACCAAGCCGGATTGAATCATCTTGTCCTGCCTCC